GCAGCTAAAAAAAAAAAACAAAAGTAGAAAAATGTTGGTAAATGATGGGTACTCGTGGGTTTGATGTATTTAGAGTTTTTACTTTTGAATGTGTTTTAAAATATCTATAATAAAAAGCCTTTTTAAAAATAGCAATACATGAAGCAGGGGAAACGAATATATCTGGGATTTCTACATAGGAAGGTAAGGGTGACCAGATAGTGTTGTAAGGATTTTTTAAGACCAGAAACTTAAGGCAGAGTCCGGGAAACTGTCACTGCTTCATGGGGTCTGTCTGGAACACTAACGAATGCTCCCGGGCCTGTGTTCACCGGCCCTCCCCTAGAGCCGGCCGCAGGCGCGCTCCCTGCCCCTGACCTGTGAGAGCGCCCCAGCGGGGAGCCCGGGGATCGGCAGCGCCCGCTGCAGCATCAAACACCTCATCTTCCGCGAGGGGGCCCAGGTCAGCCTCGCTCTGCCTGCTCCTACTCCACTGCCCTTCCCCCTCACTCCTCGGTGACCGCCCCGTCCCACCCCCATACCTGCCTACCTGCCTCTTCCTCAGATGACCTTCACGGCCACCTTCGACGTCTCCCCCAAGGCCCAGCTAGGAGACCGGCTACTTCTGACGGCCAATGTGAGTAGGTGAGTGGGGCCAGACATGGGCAGCACTCCCTCCCGCCCAGCCTGCTCTTCTGGGGCACTCTCCAACTGGGCTCCTCTTCCTTCTGCAGTGAGAATAATTCCCCCAGGACCAGCAAGAGAACCTCCCAGCTGGAGGTCCCCGTGAAGTATGCTGTCTACTCGGTGATCAGCAGGTGCCACAGCACAACCTGGAGAGGGTGCTTCTCCATCACTGATGGGGCTCAGGGGGGCTCTCAGTCCTGGAGCCACTGAGCACCTGGGATAGTTAGGTCTTCTCACCACCCTTTCAGTCAGTAGATGATGCTGCCAGCAGCACTTTCTAATCAATCCCTGGGTGTTTACTGTGAACTAGCTATGACAATAAGAAGAGTGATTTCATCTTCCATCCTACATTTAATGAGGTTCCAGTTCTCAGAAGCCCCAAGACTGTCCTGAATTTCCTAACAGATAGGAGACATGTCTCTGTCTTCAAGGTTCCTACAGCCTTTTGGGGAGCAAGGTTACCCTGAGCCAAAGCAGAATCTCATCCAAGGCCTCTCTGTGGTTCTGCACCATGAGTGATGTGAATTTCTAAGAGTGGGATAGGGTCTCCTGTCAGAGGAGGCCTCAGCTAAACTCCCAGGGTCCCTGGCATTGGACTGGGCCTTTGGCATTGGAGCGGGACAGTTCTTTATTGCAAGGAACCGATTTACAACTTGCAGGGCTCTTAGAACTCCCCTCTTCCTGTCCCAGCCCCCTTTGGAATAAGGATAGAGGGAGAAATGAGCTGCCTGCTACAGAGGCTGCTGTCAGGGAAAAGCTGGGTGAAAGGAAGAGGCCGTGACATGGTGCCCAAGGAGGGGCAGACAAGGGGCTTGAAACTAAGGGGTCAAAGCCCAGCGTCTAAGCAGACATCTTCCTGGCATTTTCTATGCTTCAGGCACAGCGATGTGGTTGCTTTCCATGAATTCATGTGACATTTGACAAGGATGTATTGAGCCTCTGTTATGTGTAATCAAAACCAGACTAAACCCCTGGCCTTGTGGGGCGCTTGTGATACGAGCAGGCCCATTGGCTTAGCCTGGGTGTATTCCCCGGCTGCTTCCACCCAGGTGTCTCCGCAGAAGTCTTCCTCCCGCCCAGAGGCTCCCACGCGCAGTCTTACCTGCACACTGGGCACGGTCTGAGCTTGCTTGTTCAGTGTGCACAGGGGTTAGCACGCCTCCCTGCAGGGTGCTCACAGGAAGGGCAGGCCATATCTGAGCATGTGTGGCCCTACAGTTCAGCTGTCCTCTGCAGATGCGACTCCATGGGTAGGGGCACTCAGGGGAGGGGGGGTCCCAGGATGAGACTGGGGCATTTGTGGGGAGCCCCTCGGCAGAGGAGGGATGAGACTTCAGAGTGGGAATGCTGGTCTAGGATTTGGACTGTGCAGGCAGAGGAGAGGTACCCAAGGAATGGAGCACGGAGGGGCAGAGGTGAGACCAGCCACCCCTGTGAGGGGTCAGGTCGGCCAGTGGGTCTCAGGCATGGGCCTGAGGAGGCATTGTTACACCAAGGTGCAATGAATAGTCTGCTGTGGGCTCTCCCCCACCTCCAAGCCGCAGGCCCAGAAAAGCCAAGGAAACAGGAAAGAAGGGCCCCAGGGAATGGCCAGTGTCAACCCCAAACCTTGTGAATCTCCCCAAACCCTTGCTGTGTCCCCATGCCCATCCAGCCTCCTCTGTGCCCATGAAGGCCTGAGAGGAAAACTGAGCCACAGAGAGGGGAAGGCCATGGCCTCCCCTCACCCAGTGAGTCAGGGCATAGCTCTCAGTCCCTCTCACTGCACCACCAGCCTAGCCCCACCTTGGCAGTTTCCTGTGTAGGCAGCTTCTGCAGGCCCCTTGCACTCAGCTCAAAGCCTAGCCCTACTCCCTAAGTCTTCCCATTGCTCCAAGTCAGCCACAGACGTCATTCCAGGGCCCCCAAGACCTCACTGACCACCCGTCCTATTATGCTTCCAGCCAGAGCCTCCTCAGGAGGCCTCTGTGGAACTTCAAACCCACCCATGCCTCTTCTCTCCCCAGCCATGAAGAGTCCACCAGGTATCTCAACTTCTCGGCCTCAGGGGAGAAAGAAAGCAGCATGGTCCAGCACAGATACCAGGCAAGTGGGGGCGATGAAGGAGCATGGGCTGGGGCAGGGGCCCAGGAGCCAGAGGTGGGGGGGATGCGGCTTTGGTGTGGTCCTGCCTTACTGCCCTCCATGCAGGTCAACAACTTGGGTGCCAGGGACCTGCCCATCAGCATCAACTTCCTGGTTCCTGTGGAGCTGAACCAGGTGTCTGTGTGGACAGATGTAGAGGTCTCCCACCCCCAGGTACTCCTCCACGAAGGCCTTTCCTCCTGTAGTCCCTGAGTCCCTCAGGAACCCTGATGTCCCCACTGAGATGCTTGCTTTCTGTGTCTTTCCCTAGAACCTGTCTATTCAGTGCTCTTCGGAGAGAATAGCACCCACAAAGTCCAACTTTCTCGCTCACATTCAAGAGAACCCTGTGCTGGTGAGGACCCTAGGCTGTCCCCACGTTAAGCCACACAGCAGAGGAATTCGATTCGGGAATCACACTCTGTTTAGACGGATGTCTGCTGAACAGCCTTCCTGAATTCAGAGGTGGCTGCTCCCTCAAAACAGACCGTTCAATGCTGTCTCTGCCTTCACACCCACCCTCCCCTGTCCCTAGAACTGTTCCATGGCTGACTGCCTGCGGTTCCGCTGTGACGTTCCCTCCTTCGGCATCCAGGAGGAACTTGACTTTATCCTGAAGGGCAACCTCAGCTTCGGCTGGATCAGCCAGGTGTGTAGGCCCAGCAGCAGAGTCCCGCCCCTCACACTCAGGTGGTGCCTGGTGGGTCTGGGCCCATCCATCCTCAAGCTAGGACACATCTCTGCCCTGAGCCTCCCCCAGAGCTAGTTTTCCAGCCATCCTGCCCCCTTTTGCAGACATTGCAGAAGAAGGTCTTGGTCGTGAGTGTGGCTGAAATCACGTTCAACAGATCTGTGTATTCCCAGCTCCCAGGACAGGAGGCGTTTCTGAGAGCCCAGGTAGTGACTGTGTGGTGGGCAGTGGCCAGGCTGCTAAGGGGGCTTCTGAGGCTAAATCTGTGAGTTGGGTGGGTGGGGGCTCACATCCTGGAAGGAGGGAGGACGGAGGTCCCTGGGTGGGACAGGGGCCTAAGTGTATCTGCACCTCACCCCTTGGAGTCTGGCCTGGAGAAGGAGGAGGGTTGTTAAAGGTCGGGGAGCCTCGGAGAGTCTGGGGCAGCCAGAGGCCTGACCCTTCATGATGGGGGTCACCGCCACTGCAGGTGGAGACAGTGCTGGAGGAGTACGAGGTCCACAACCCGGTACCCCTCATCGTGGGCAGCTCTGTGGGGGGCCTGCTGCTGCTGGCTCTCATCACAGCCACCCTGTACAAGGTGCGTGTTCTCGTCCCCACTTGACGCTGCTCGCATTCGATCCCACTCTTTACAGTATATGAAAGAGTGCACCTTGTCGTCAGACATTCAATCCTGCTAAGTCACTGCATGTGAGACATCCCCGCCCACTTGTGACATCAGCTGTCCCCCACTGTTCCCCATGTTTGTGCCTTCCCATCTTATTGTCAGTCCTCCTATTTTCTCTCCTTTTCTTTCCTGCTCTGTGCTGCGTCTCTGCATTGTTCCCTTTACATCAAATTATAATATAAGGGTGCTGCCCTGGAATGGTGTTGACACCACCACAGATTCTTTTGTAGACCAGTGCCTAGTCCACACTGGGTCTTGGTTTCTCATTCTGAAGGTAATTCTACACGGCTTACAGAATTGTGGTCAAGTCTAAAGGTCGCCATGTATATAAAGTTCTAACTACAGTGCGCAAACAGAGCAGCGGTTTCTGAAATGGTGACCCCTCCCCTCCCCCAGTATGTCTTTTCCTCTCTTCCACTGGACTTCCTGACTTTCCTCTCCTTCCTCCCCCACAGGTTGGCTTCTTCAAACGTCAGTACAAGGAAATGATGGAGGAAGCACATGGACAGACTGCCCCAGAAAATGGAACACAAGACCCCCCCCAAGTTGCCCAATAATAAACTACCTCCTGCTCTCTCTAGGACCTGCTTTCTCCTGGAGGTTTCCTGGCCCTTTTGCTCTCACCCAGGTCAGGCCTGAGGAGGAAGAAATGTTCCACAACAGGGAGGTGGGGATCAGGCTTCTTTCTCTCTTTGGGAGGATACAGTTTACTTGCACAAAATGTTTTGCTTGGGAAGGGCCATTTGTCTGTCAAGACTCCACCTAGAAACCCCTGGATGGGTCCTGGCCACACATCTTAAAGGACTTGACTTGGAATTTCTACCTAGATTTACACTGACAATAGTCTCAGTCTCCCGTCTCCCTTCCTCCACTAGCAGCCAATGATCTTTCTAAAATACAGCACTGAATGAGCCCCTTATCCTCACCCATTTTCAGTGACTCCCCATGACTCGCATGATAACATCGGAACTATTCTGCTTGATGTTAGGAAACCTGTTCCATTTTCAGAAGATGGGCTTTGGAGCACACAGCATAAAACTTTCTGAGCCTCTCTGTCTCCCTCATTTCTAGTAAAGTACTGTCAGGATCAGCTCTTAACTTTGTCTTGGAAATCTCAGTCCAGATTTCCCAAATAGAGTTGGGAATGAAATGCCTGCACACTGGAATTTGTAAACTTGGCCTCCAACATTGGCTACCAGTGCCAGCTATGAGTGAAGAGTGCCCCCCCCTTTCCTGCCAGGAGGGGCATTGGCCCAATGCCACTTGGGCTCACTCAGCTCCATGGTCTCTTAGAGAACAATAGAGGCTCAGGCCACTCCCACTTTTTGAGGCTTTAACTATAGTAAATGAATAAATGCCAGAACATGATTATAAAAATTGTGCATGTAAAATATTTGCATTAACAAATTAACACATTGCAAAAACAAAAAAAGATTTGTGTGCCTTTATGGGGATATATGTCAAAGGTCTAAAATGACGGTCTTTGATGGTTGTGAGTCCCAGACAATGATGCTGATGGGGTCCCCCAATCATGGTAAACCTTGGCCAGCCCTGCAGCCGGGGCCAGGACAAGACAGTTAAACTGCCTGGGGGTTATAAACATCCCTTATTGGGATAACCTGACCTCTTAATCTACTATTTACTCCATTCTCAGAGATGTTGTTGATGGGAAACTGACACGGCTGTTGTGGGGGCGGGCAGGGAGAAGGGACAGCCCTCATGGCTACTCTTCTAGCTGGAAAGGTCATTGGCATGAACTAATACACAGAGTTTCTTACAAATCCTGAGATGTGTCCAAGGGAAAATTGTTTGCATATGGCTAGTGGTTGGAGAGTACTTTGAAGTCCTGTATCAGGGACCTGCTGCCTCCAATGAAATCATCATTATTATTATGCCCCCCATCTCAGCCTAAAGCTTCAAGTCCTGCCTGGCACTGAACTTGGAGTCAACACAGAGAAGCTCCTCCATGCCCTGGAGAGACCCCACTGTTGCTGCTACCTCCACAGTGCTCAGGCCATGTGGAGGTTTTAGTTAGAGAAAGAGAAGGGGAGGCCATTGATCATGTGATTTGAAGGGAAGATGGAAAGTGGCCCTTCACCTCCACCAAAAAATGTTTCCCCTATTCAACATCCTACGGTCCAGAATCATTTTATATTTTGAAGCTTTGGCGTCTCCAGAAGGACCAATTATTAGGCAAGAGCTTCAAGTAGGGCTTCAGATTACACTTCCTGAGAATCTGGCTTGAGAGTATTATTTCTCAAAACATGTTCCACGAACCTCTATTGGTCTTTAATGGTCTCCTAAGTGATGAGAGAGAGAGAGATGAGAGAGAGAGAGAGAGAGAGAGAGAGAGAGAGAGAGAGAGAGAGAGAGAGA